TACTGCTATGGATCTCGGAAAGACCCGAATCCTCTACAGAGCGCTTCATTTCGAATCTATTCGAAAGGCTTACATCGCGACAACACCACACAAAGAACACCACTCGAACAAGACAGACAAAGACAACTATCGATGAAAGTTTTGATCGCGCACCGCGATGTTCAAGACTGACATTCATTCGCTTTCAGTTCAATCAAGTTGTTTATTAACTTCCAGTCAGCTAACAACCAGTTTCCCTCGGTTGTAAGAATAGGAACGGACGTAAAATTGTAAAGGAAAACGGACGAAGGAACCAAGAGAGGATTCCCCCATTTGACCGCCATTTTTTTTTTTTTGGGGGGGGGGGGGGGGGGGGGGTCTCAGTGGGGGGACGTCAGCGGTCAGCGGAAACAAGATAATTTCGCGGGAAATCAATTTTAAAAATAAAATGAAACGGGACAGGGTTGACTCAAGGATATAGTACGTATGGAGGCTCCGGTAATGGGCTCCTGACTATAATTAGCTGAAGGGTCCTGATAAGAGACCTTATAAATTGGAGTCCTAGCTCGTTGATGGGTTAGTTTGATTGTGAAACGGTGCGTGTTGAAGCTGTCCTGACTAAACTAAACCGGTAAGTAGTAGAAAACTAGCTCAGTTGAATGTTTCATTTTGCTTCTTAAGTTTTGAATTCTGATCTGTTTTTACAGTGTTCATTGCAAAGAAAAATAACAATAGCTTACACTAAATCGCCGTACTTCGCGATGCACTATTAGAAAAACGAAGAGCAATCCTTTTGAAACTCAGATTATTTTTCGAAGGCTTCTTGTTCACATATCTAGCTCAGTACTGAGCATAGCTTTAGGTTTTGCGGAGTAGTTGCGTTGTTTTCAGTATTGAATTAAAATTCGTATATATATATCATCGAAATCATCAGCCTAAAATTTATGCTGAAGTATATCTTTGAATTGGAAGTATTTTTAGTTTCAGTATTCAATTCAATCGTCTTTGGCAATTCATAACTTTCTTCCTTTTAACATAATGTTTCACAACATAAATCTACTGATATACTTTCTACCCTGGCTAGGAATATTTCACTGTTTTGGTAATGATGACAAATTTACTCGTGCTTATTTGTTCCAAGAAAATTTCACAGCTATACGTGCTTTGAAATACAATTTAACTCATTCGCACTTTCCGATTGATCGCTCATTAGTGTCCAGACAGCGGTTTAGCAGTTGCTTTTTAACCAGCGGCGTGATATTATTCAGTTTCCACGGTCGGTAAAGAGTGAGAAGTAAAGCCCGCTTTGGTAAAAGAGAAGACAAGTATGACCAATTGAAATTCTAGATTTATGATTCTATATGTTGATAAATAATTCTAAGTTACCCCGTATACCCAGAAAGAAATCCAGAATGATTTATTACTGCTCGACTGCGTGCTTGTAGCATTCCGCGCGCGCACGTTTTCACGCCGTTCTCTCCAAGAAACTGAACAACCACGACAGCAACAACAATTATTTGTACCAAAAAGTGGAAAGAAAAAATTATAATATTGTTAAAAACTATTGGAGATACTAGCTGCCTAAAATAAACATATATACTGAGGGTTGTCCCAGGCAACGCCCAGGACAACGTGGAATTAAAAAATGAATTTATATTTTACACTTCTCCATGATAGTCGATGACAGTTTTTCCTGTTTGACCACGCGGCGCATGATAGTTCATGATAGTTGATGACAGTTATTAGCTTAGGTGAGTTAAACTATCATCGAAGTCATGCGCCGTTTGACCGCCGCTTACTCCCTAATAATCACCGCAGCGACTTTATTTTTCTTCGTAACTGAAATTATCTAAAATACTAATTCCAATTGGCTGTTCACGCCATTCGTTATATTACGACGGTTCCCTTAGTCAGTTCGCTCATGGGCCTACTTGAGGCAGAGATGGCAAAAAAGAAGAATGCAGAGGGTTTTTTTTTAATGTTCGGCGCTCTCGAATTGAACTAATTTCCGATAGCTTATATTTTATAACCTGATAATTGTTGTAGTTCCCTGGTCTAGTTCCTCCTTTAGAAAAAAAAACACTAGAGGTAGGCTTGATTTCACGGCTCTCGAGAGAGCGTGCGGCTAATTTTCCCTAACAGCGGCTGGCACAGAATTCGAGCCTACACTAGACGAAAAGTCTTAATTAAGAATCCCTATTGTAAACGGAACAGTAAACGTCTTTTAATTTTCAATAGAATTGACGATAAATATTTTGTCCGGCTTCAGTATTATTGCATAACGTCAAGAGACTATGGCCAGATGTTATTGTTTTGTGTGTCCTTATCTCGTCTATTCAACGCGATAACGGTCCGGGTTGTATCACCTCCGGACTATAGCCGGCATGGTAGGAAACACACGCCCACATACAGTGGTGGCAGGCTTATAATCTACATGCACATCTAATCAGAATTGATGTCGTAAAATTTAAGACAAATATCCAACAGGCTGTGCCACAAGCTATTCGGAAATTTTTCCGAGCTCTCCCAACAGGAGTCGAACCTATGATAGGCTTCCGCGCACCGGTCGGACGCTCTATCGCTGAGCTACAGGAGACTCGTGGGAGCTTAGGCTATACATAACTAGATTCAAATGTGACAAATTAAACGCCCTGTGTACTGATAGGATTAGTTTTGTCGATATGTGAAATATGTGTGGAAATAAATTGTATGGTGAATTTTAAGCTTGGTATCCAAATGGTTTCTTTCTCCTAATCATGTCAGTCAACTGGAAACCCATGCGACCTGCTCTGAGGACTTCCTGTCTGCTAACTAAACCGTGCTCTAGCTTTTCAATATTTGAAATCTAGCTGTCAAAAAGACGGATCTGAAAATTAACCGGAAAAGTATAGTGATGTGTTCACGCAGAGCTATAATCTCTGGAAATATTGACTGACTTGGCACTGTCGAAATAGCTTAATTAGTTTAAAAAACGAGCAGCAGTGTTTTATCAGGTTTTTTAGACCTCAAAACACGTTCTGCGAGCTTTTTAAACGACTTCAAAAACTTCCCTCTAAATCTATTAAATCTGAGGCTTATCTTGAAATTTTAGTTTGTTTTGGACGAGAAAATGGAGCTAAAAGTTCAGCCGTATCTTTATCAGTCAAATACAAAGACACTCATTAAACATTCATTTCCTTTGTATTTTCTTTATGAATTATTCATGAGTTTTGAACGCCTAAGAAGTGCTCAGTAGTTTGTCCAGTTTACTGGTGAAAGCAACTGAACAATACTGAGATGAATACAAAAAACTGATTGAATATACTGTTAATTACCCGTAATGTAACTAAGATAACCGTATCAATAGAGTAAGAAAATGATTTGTAAGTTGTTGATAGGAGTCTTTTTGTTATCACAATCAATTTTCACTTCTCAGATTGTAAACGGAGCAATGTAAGTTTAGCTTGCAAGTTTAATTCTCAATAGAACTGAGAATAGATATGTTTGTTCAATATGCATAACGCCCAGATGATAATTCCGAAACAAGCAAAGTTTCAATTGCTTTTTAGTCTCTACACAAACTGATCGGCACAATAAAGATTCAACTTTTGAGACGAAAAGATTAAATTTCGTAAGTACAGTACCGTTTTCAGGTTTCTTTGACATGATTAGGAACCGCTATAGCGAACTACTCGAAATCTTACAGATCTTAAATAAAATAGCACAAAGAAAAGCACAAGCTGATTGAAACAGAGCAGGTTTCCAGACCTGTTTCCACCATTTTACGGAAATCGGTCAGATTTTAAAAAACGACTCAAAATCACGGGACATGTCATTTTAGAGAGTGCAAATCTAAAGCATTTTCCTGAGGATTAACTCCCAACAGTGCCAAGTTCAAAACTGAGGAAGAATTCTTGAATTTCATTTTGCAATATTGTCAAAAAACAAAGAGCACAACTTGAAAGTACTGCTCAATAGCTTCAGGTATTTGAATGGTCACATACTGTGGTTTCAGCCACAGACTCAAATGCATGGTACAACCACATTTATTGACTCAAGGTTTGACTCTGGAAGCCTGAAAGGGTATAAACTAGCTGACTTGGGTATGTATCCAGATGATTGTGAGAGGCAATCGCGATCTGAGTCAAACAAGAAAGCTATATACTTGAAATTTACATTTATAATTGATCTCTCTTGAACAGTACAACAAAAGGCTTTTCATTTAGCTCCGGCCGAAACTGTTTTTTTTTTAACAAATAAAAAGGAACAGACTAAAGACACTAAACTATATGCAGTCACAAGAAAACAAAATCATTTGGATTGAGAAAAGGCGGACACAAAAGCTACTGACTTGTAAGATATTTCTGTTTTAATTTGGCAAAACGAAATCTTAAATAGTTATCTTGGTTTATTTGAATTTTACCAGCTTGTTTGAACAGCCTGCTCGCGTATCCACGAGAAAAAGAATAATACTAGAATCCAGTGTTTTCATTTGTATCAAACATTGCACTCGTGGATGTTTAAAGTTTGCTCAGTACAAAGTTGTAACAATTCGGTGTTTCATTACCTCGACAACAATAATTTATTCAGCTGTCTCGTTCTCAGATACGCAACAATAGAAATCATTCTCCGTTTTGTTATATTAGGAACAAACAGTATCGTCCGGTTACACAAATAATGTACTTTACTAAGGTATAGGAGAGGGTTGATTTCGATTTCGAGATTCACAATTACAGAGCAAGGAAATCGAACGTGAGTATTCCATAACTTTTAACCGTTTTCTTTTAACATTACGTTTAATTTATAGCATTCTGTTTTCATCAATTTTGCCACTGTTTCGTCATTTCCATCTTTTAAACCCCTCATTGTTTGCAATTGATCCTGTTGCTATACGCACATTTACTTTAGTTCACGAGGCTGATGTGTGATTTCTAGATTAGGACTTTCTCAGTAGTTCAGAAGTGAGTTTGGAACAAAATCGCTCAGGAAATTATATATCAAAATTTAGCAAGTTTTGTTTAAGTGAATTGATTCCTAAATACTAATTCTTATCATTTTGAGAGTATCGCTATACGTTCGCGAGGGACTTTATAGGACGTTACGGATCTGGCTCATCTTGTTTTCCTCTGAATATAAAATTATTTATTATTTGCCGACCTCCTTTTTATATTGTGGCCAAAAATGGTTGAAGACTCAATTTGGATCGAGCGGGAAAATGATAGCCATTATGATTAAGATCATCATTTAAGTTTTTGTATAATAACTTGAAGTCTCATTCTGTTATTATTTGCATTCAAAGTGTTTTATTCAAACAGTTTCATCAGAATTCAGCGTTCTCAGGCCCTTTGGGGGGTTTTCATTATGGTATGATCGCGTTCGGTGCAAAACGGTCGTCGTTATACTTTATTTTAACATTAATTCAGCTTCTATATATGCACAATGCTTCAATGTAGTTTTGTTAGTCGTTTCGTTAACCCAGACAGTAGTACTTCTTATTTCCTCTTCACGGCCGTCTGAAGTACAATAGACAACGAGCCGATTCCACAAAGAACGTCGATTTACATTGCGAGGGAACGAGGAGGCGGGAACGGGCGGATCCTGGATTTTGTGAAAAGGAGGGATCGAGAGGAGATAGAAGTACAAGCACCAAAAGTGCGACTCCCTAAAGGGGGGGGGGGGGGGGGGTTCTTGGGCATGCTCCCCCAGAAAACTGTGAAAACTTTTATTGCAAAATAAGACATTTCCCGCATCTTGAACGTCCCATGGAAGGTTCTTCTCGCGCTCAAGCCTGAGAAAATTAAATTATGGGGGCTTCTCGCAGCAAGATGCTCGCAGTCAAGATCGCTGCTTTTAAAAGCTGCTAAGGATATAAGCCACCGGCTACTGATGTCGCATCATGCAGTTAATTAAAACTGCACTGTAGTTATTGCTATATTTTTCAGTCTAACGGTATTAGACATTGATATCTTTTTACAAATAGAAATATGAAGGCCATATTTACCTTGGGCTTCTTGTTGTCAACTCTGCTCCATCTCTGTGAGGCGGACATGTATCTTCACTACCCACCTTGTTCCAACAACAGACTGAACGGGAACCAAGCCAACGTGAGGAATGCTAACAGGCTCTTGACTCTCAGGTAAGCTTGGATCAAGTTGCTTGGACCTATTTATAGAGGGGTTTTCAATTGAGTGTCGAAAATAATCCAGAATTGCTTTGGTTTTGCCTTACTTAGAAAACCAATCGTGACTTGGTCGCACGCGTTTCCCCGCGCTTGGCGCCGGTTACGTGTATTGCTTCGAGTTCTCATTGGTTCGTTTATTTTTTGATTTTTTTACGTTTTTTTGTGAGTGGTTAAGATAGATAGGTTTTAATCAGGAACATCCAGCAACTCTCAAATATATTTCAGTGTACCTCTTTAAGGGGCGAAATTAAACAAAGGACAAGATTCTAAAGACGACGTTGATTAAAATTAAATTTCTATTTTAATTTAGCCGATCGCTACGCGATTATTATATCTACCTTAATTTATGCAGTTTATCTAACGGTGTCCGCAGAACTATCCTCTGTTAACACTGAGTCCTTATGGCTACGAAAGACGTTTTTATTTTTCTTATTTCCCAAGCGTGCCATATGCCAATCGGCTGAAAATGTAAAGACAACGTTGTGGCTCACGTTCTCTACTGAGAACATGCCGCATTTGGTGATTTCACATTATTGTTTCGCAGAGGACGGCTATAGGAAATCTACCAGAATGTATAACGCACGTACCTGCGTACAGAGCAAATTGTGGCACTACTCATAAGGTCGCGCAGAACCCAAATTCATAAGCCAAATTTCTTGAGTGGTGTCCGTTTAGATTTAGAATATTTGACCGCGGGCTCAACTGTAATAACAGCTATTTGTTTAGATTAAGTCGGATTAAATGCATGAAGGAATAGAATGTATGTTCTATTAGTAAAACTGATAGTTATTAAAACTCCTATTAATTTCCCGCCCACAATGCGCGCATTATTGAATGATGTTAAACTCCATTTTTTGCTATTCCGTAGAACAATGGTAAAGCCGGGTACAATGTTGGAGACAGTGGCAGTAACAATCCCGGAGAAAACATAAATGAAATAAGGCAGCGCCCACCGGTAAGACATTTGACATGTATCATTGTGTTTATGGTTGAGCTGAGCATGATAGCAGCGAAATTATCAAGGCCGAGCTCGAGGTTTGTGTCAGTTGCGCATAACACAAGCTGAGGCCTTGATAATTTCGCTATCAAAGGCTATGCGAAAACCGAATCATGCAATAATTGTTTCATATAAGTTCAAAATACTATATAATTCAGTTTTGGGTTTCAGCGTTTTGAACCTTTTTCTTCGCGGATTATAAAATCCAGGAAGGGGACGGCGGGCGTAAACCACTGATTTAGAGAGCTCAGTAAACGTTGAATCAAAACTGAAACACGTAGTTACTTTCCACAGTCGTTTTAAAATCGCTACTGTAATGGTAATTACTTCTTAATCTAAAGGAATATTACATGAGCGGCTGTGAGAAAGATTCCCAAACTGAACTGGAAATCATGTGGACAAATCAACACGGGACCGGCCCAAAGACCGACGACAGAGT